CAAAATAAATTAAATGTACACACCAGAGCAATATGCTGATCAAATTATAAATCCGCATAAGCTCTTTCTGCTCTGGGAGCAATACTCTACGGAAGGATGCAATAGCACTGAAGGTAGTTTCCATATATTCTTTTCAAGGAGCAATACTCTGAAGGGAATACTCGGCAATATAGATCCACTTCTTTAATAAACACCTCTTCCTCAGATGTTCAGACCAACACTCAGGATATAAGAGAACAGAGAACTCATGGTGCAGTACCTTTAAAATCTTCTTATTTATTAAAACTCATTGCACTTACAAATAATGGTGTCCCAGCCGACACCAGCAAACAAAGCGTGATATCAATCAATGCAGCTAACCCAGCCTCATCCCTCATGCGCAGACACTGACAGCTCGGGAATGTAGTGACATCGCATCCACAGGCTCCGTCCCACGCATTTTATCATCAACATCCTCACGGAGCGGATGAATCGCAACCTGTTTAGTTTACCATTATATGCACCTTTTTTAAGGTTAGGTTTGTAGCTGTGATTTTTTTTTTATGGTTTTTCTTTTTTCACATTATTGTTATATATCTTTTCGTGGCGCTATCCAAAAATATTTCCTTCATTGGACAGATTAGAGTGAACAAATTGGGAAGAGATGCATGACTGATTTCTAACTTTGTTCCATATCCCCATCATCACCGCCCAAAGGGGTAAATCTATTATATGTCCCTATGTTATACCCCTCCATCTACCCTAACTAGGGATCATTGAAGGAGGATCTTTGGCATTTCTCTCTTGGGGATCCAGAGGAAGATTCGGCTTTCCAGCCTTTCTGGTTGTTATATAACACAGCGTGATTGACCACTCTTAACAGGTGGTCATACCTTTCTGGAAAGCTTTTTTTTTCCTGTTCCATCACAACCTGTAGGGACTTTTTTCTTTATTTGAAATCTTATCATGGAATCATTTTTTTTCACCAATTGTTTGAAATTTTGTTAAGCGCTACACTTTATACATACATTGTAACAAAATATGCCAACACTGACACTAGCTGGCGCCCGTGTGTTCCATATCTAGTGACCAACCCCACCTTATCTTGCTGTAATTTTTTTTTTCTACTTTGCAGTAGCTGTGTCTTATTATGTATTAATGCTCTCACTCTACCCCTTTCTAGCACTGCATTAGGATATCCCCTTACTCGGAATCTCTCTTTTAATTCTTGGTACTCTGTATGATAGTCCTTCTACTTCTTAGGAATTTTCCATATGGGATCCCCCTAACTAGTGGCCAGGGATGGTTGCTGGTTGCATGTGTATTTCCCGCCGTGGATTTGCGGAATGTGGTAGTCTCAATTCTATCTCCTACTTTTTTAATTATCAAGATACCTCCTAACTTTTTTGGAGGCGATTACTAAATACATAAGAGAAATGAACTGGGACTGTTTCTTACTAGATGAGGATAATTTGTCTAAGGGAGAACGTAGAGCCCTCAAGGAGCTTAAAGACCTCAGAGAGGTAGTTATGAAGCCCAGTGACAAGGGTGAGAATGTTGTGATTTGTAAAGAGAAGGACTATGTTGAAGTATATAGACAACTGAGCAATGAGTTTTGCTATAAAAGATGTGCAAATAACCCCTTTCCTTCCCTTGTCACTGAAATTAGGTTCAAGCTTGAGAGAGCCTTTTAGGTGGGGATGATTAAGAAAAAAGAACGGGACTATCTTTGTATAAAGAAATATAATATTCCCATGTTCTACGCTGCCCCGAAGGTCCATAAAAATGTAGCCTGACCACCGGGGAGGCCTATTGTTTTATGGGTAGGTGGACCCTCCGAACGCATGGGACAATACTGTATGTGGATAGGAGAATTAGACATATAGTGGAAGAATTACTCTCCTTTGTCCTTGATACAGGGGATCTTCTGAGAAAGTTGACAGACTTGAGGGTACTGGTGAATTGTGTTTTGGTGGGGGTGAACGTGTAGTCACTATACACTTCCATTCCCCACCATATAGAAATCCAGGCCATTACAAACTGGCTTGAATTGAGACATCCCCTGTCCGGTCCATATAATTTATTTTTGGTGGAATTGTTGGATCTCATACTCCACAATAACTTTTGTTTGACTAGTAAGTTTTTACCGGCAGACTAGAGGAGTTGCAGTGGGCATGGCATGTGAGCCATCATATGCGTGTTTGCATTTAGGTTGGTGGAAGAAAACCGTAGTATGAGAAGCCCAGATATCAGACAAACTACGTGTTTGTGGCATGGAGAGGATCAGTGGATGAGTTTCATTTATTCATAGAAGAATTAAACTGTAATGAAAAAAATAACTTACTTAGGTATAAAGCGGATCGATGTGAGATGGAATTTCCGGATTTGGAAATTAAAAAAGTAGGAGACAGAATTGAGACTACCACATTCCTCAGATCCATGGCAGGAAATGCACTTTTCCAAACCACCAGCCACCATCCCTGGCCACTAATTAGGGGGATCCTAATTCTTAAGAAGTAGAAGGAATTGTTTGAATAAAGATGTTACGGATTAAGGAGGTGGTGAGAACACTATGCGGTATCTGCTGGTCACAAAGACACACTATTTGGGCTTGTTTATGTTTTTAACATTGTAAGTGCATTACTTGGAGTAAATAAATCTATCTATCTTGGGTAATATACTATTGGAGCAGATTCTTTGTTCTTCTCTTTTCATGATATGGTGGAATGGAGTTTTGAATTATCCTGGCAATCAATCATTAAGTGGGCTGTTCTTGGAGGAACCTCTTGGTCATATTAGTGGATATTCTCTTGAGTATGCCTGAATAAAGGCAATATCTGGTGAGTGCACACCTGAGTGGGGGTGCACGGTGGGCACTGCACAAGGTTTTCTATACCTTTAACATTTTTCTTCATATTAAGTTATTTCATCACTGGACTTTAATTTCTTTTTCATCTTTCATCACGGGACTTTTTTAATATATAATTTTTATGTCACAGGACTTTTTTTTTTTTAGATATCACATCATGTGCATTTTTTAATTTTTATTTATTTTTTGTTACAGAGATAATGTTCAGGATATGTATTAATGAATGATATATAATGCATGGGTGACGATTGGAGATTTATCACTAATGTTTTAATGATAACACTGTGGAGTGTATGTGCCGCTTGTATTCACTAAATAGGGGTGATACTCACATTTTAATGATCTATCATTGCAACCGTCCCTATGCATAGTAGGTCTATGCCTACATATTTACATGTATTTTGGTTGATTGACCACCAGTCAGGCATAAATAGTAAATGATTGGATTTAGCCCAAGTTTGGGGAAAATTGTGGATAGAAAGGATAAAATTTTGGGGTCTTTGACCTTGCTTTACAATATCCCTGTGGGTTGTCGAATCGGTATGGGGGAACCCACGTGGCGTCTATGGTGGAAATATCCCCAGGAGGTTGCTTTAAGAAGCGGAATTCAGCCGCGGAAACGGAGATAGATAGCGGTGGCTACAGACCAACCCCTAAGCTGCGCCCTGAAGAAGCCCTGGTCAGTGATAGGAACAAAACCTGTAGGCAGAGGGCATCACAACCGCCTGACTTAAGAGGTCCCCCTGGGAGACGCTGGAGTGCACTCCAGCTTCCATGTTCTGTTTGGATATCATGTGCCGTCCTGGTGAGATCTCTGGGCACTGCTACACACTGTTGTATGGACACAGCAGATCCTGGCCATAGAACAAAGGAGGATATTCACAACAAAAAGGCATACATGGAACAGTCTCGCCGTGTGTTGACCAGTATGCTGATGTCAATCGAGGCACCCACCTGCAGTACATAGGCTATCCATGGGTCTATCAGCTACTCTCAACACAGTGCACTTTTGGTAGGATGGACTTGTTGGCGCCAGTCAGGTGGTAAGCCTGGAAGGACTGAGTATATTAATCGTTGTCCGGAGGGAGTAGCTGTATATTTGAGGATTTGAAAGGCGGGGTATATATTCCAACAGCAAAGACACAAAGTCTATTCAGTGTGGGGCATTGTGGGTGCCCCCCAGCTCCTTTTTCTCCTAGTGGGGTGATATCCAGCACAATTCCTCGTTGGGACACTGACTGCAATAACATTACTTGTATACCCCAGCTGGGCACTCACATCGATTAATAATGACATAATTCTTCACCAGCATCACCACTGCTCCGGAGGGATCTCTTGGGGGACACCGTCCAGCTTTCTTGGGGTAAGGGGGACCAGGGGAATATAGGGAGGAGTGGGTGGCACCAGGTGCCTCAGAGTGGGGTAAGGGCCTTTCCAGGGGGTAGTGGGTGTGGGGTTCAGGCTGGGAGGTGGGGTAGGGGTTTGGTTGGGAGTGGAGGGGGAGGGGTGAAGGGGCATGCTGAACTTTGGGACATGCATTGATATGCTGGTTACATATATATTTCTTTACGTCCAAAGTAAATACTGCCGTTGTTAGCCTATGAGCTTCAATATCCTTTTTTGGTGTTTTGGTCTTTTTGTACATGGTCTTTTGGATGCATCTCCCCGACGTAGGGTCAGGCACTGGCAGATAACATCTCATTCCCAGGACAAGACATTTGCCATGGGGTTTATATAGATCCCCAGAGGGACCTTGATGTCATGATCCTATTAATTCAGTTGGCGGAGTTATACATATGGAATTGAGTGAATGCACCAGTAAAACAGCCCACCTCTGTTCGTTGCATGAATGCTTAATACACGTATTGTAGGCATTACTTAAGGTGGTCTACATGCAAATGTTATCAGTCCTGCCAAAGCTACTAGCATTGAACTATAAACTAATGTATGGGCTAAGAGAGAGCTACTGGAAACGGCCCATCCACTTGTTGGTCTTCTTTTATAGCCTTTCACTTTGCAAGAAAAGAAATGCTGCTTTTTCATCTAATCCATTATCATTTGCTTTTGTTAAATCTTGAACGTCTTATAAGAAATGTTTTGGTAATTACTTTTTTACTTTTTTGCTGTTTAGATAGTTCTGAATTTCACAGAAATGGACCTATTTAAAAGTCGGCTATGCTGGTACGACTACATAGAGATTCGGGATGGTTATTGGAGAAAAGCTCCATTACTAGGTAAAGGCTCTCTTCTGGCATATACAGCATATGCTTATGATATATAAGCAGGGAAACGTTTTTTTAATGCCAGTGAAAGGCATTTCCATAATGGATCTAGTAGATTTATCTCTAAATAGCAACATTTTCACTTCATATTCTCCTGTTCATTACCCTTTTCCAAGTAAAGCCTGACCCACGGGACAAGATCTAGCCATCCATTTTTAAAGATTCTGTGGTAGATTTCTTTTTCATTCAACATGGAAAAACATGCTTAATGCATGTTGGATGGCAAATAAATTGTAATTGGGTCAGTTTTTTGTAATCATGTAACTTTTAGTTGATTTATTTTGTGTACTTTACATAAAATCTTTATTTTTATAAAGGAAATATTCACATAGGATGCACCTATTACACAGGTGTCAGATTGTTCTAAAGAGACAGCAGAACAAAAGCAGTTTTTGCAGATATATTACGAAGGGAAAATGGAGAGTGCATAAATTGCTCCTCTGGTTAATTCAGCTTGGTGTGTAATCTGAGCTTTAGTTCAGTGGCGTATCATGAAATCAGTGGGCTTGTGTGCAAGATCAAAAGTGGGCCCTAGATTCAGAGTGGGATTCCTCTACCACCACGAGGATAATCTGTGGCTTTTGTACGGGTCTCTTCTTTGGCAATAATGCAGCCAATTGGTTTTCATGCCTTTATAGTGGAGATAATCTGTTGAGGGTCTTTCAGCCTTTTTTTTTTATGGTTAATAGTTGTGCACATATGCCCTTTAGGCCTATATAGTGGATGCGTCACTTCATTTATAGAGGCCTATGCTGTCCTCCATTACTAATCCTTGCTAGCTGGATTATTATGATGATGATGCCGATTGTTGCCCTGTACCTCCTGATTTCTGATTTTTTGCTTAACGCCTGTGATCCCTGTGGCGTTCTCTGCCTGACTACTGCTTAACTGATGCACCCCCACACCCGGCGGTGGGGTTCCTGTTTCTGGTCGTCCGGGGGGGACCTTGGTTGCTGCATTGAGGAGTCCTTTATCATACAACACACTATTTATCTATATGCGTTGCTAGCCCGAGGAAGTGACTCCAGTCGTGAAACATGTTTGGCATTTTCTACACAGCTTGGACATTCCCCACCCTCTGAAGGAAGTAAATTGCATCTACCATCCCTACATAGCTTCCATTGGAACAGCCTGTAATTTGGTTGATGGGGGGGAAACATGCTGTGTTTCAGTTGTGCAATGCAATTTTAAATACACATTTGATATGTTTTAGATGTGACATGTTAATAAAGTAACAATTGATTTTATCTTTTGTGTACTGAGTTTATGTGCCTAAAAAGTCCATTCGTTATTTTCCTGACACATTTGTGGTTAAATAGTGTGTGAGATGACTTGCATAGTACAGAATGTGGTAATGTTAAATGGGGAATGTACAATGTGGAGTGTATGGCGGTGAGTAGTATGTGTAGGATGGTGTCAGTTGTTAATTTTTTATTTTATTTTTTTTGTGTTTTAATTTGTTTTACAGTTTTTATTTGTTCACAATTTTAATGTTTTTTTTTTATTTTATTTTTTTCAAAATGCTTTTGGGTGGTTAGTGGATGGTGTTGTGGCCAGTGGATGTCAGTAGAGCAATGTAGTGGATGTCAGAATTTTTTTATTTTTATTATTCCATTTTTTACAATTTATTTTTGTATCTTTTTCACAATGATTTTGTGGGGGCAGTGGACGGTGTCAGTAGGGAGTGAACAGGGACCACTAGTACAATTAGGTCCATATATATTTGGACAAAGGCACAATTTTCATTTTTTTCAGGTATTTACCAAAACCTATTCAAGCTATAGTTATATAATGGATATGGGCTGAAAGTGCACACTCAGGTTTAATTTGAGGTTATGTACATCCAAACTGTAGGAAGGCTTTAGGTGGTACAGCTCTTAAAAGTAGCCACCCCCCCCCCCCCCCTTTTTCAAAGGACCGAACGTAATTGGACAATTTAATCAAAAGCTGTTTCATGGCCAGGTGTGGGCTACTCATTTGTTATTTGTTCACCAATTAAGCAGGTAAAAGGAAAGGTCTGGAGTTGATTCTAAGTGTGGTATTTTGCATTTGGAATCTATTTCTGTGAACCTACATCATGTGTTCAAAGGAGCTGTCCATGCAAGTGAAACAGGCCATTGTAAGGCTTCAAAAACTAAACAAATCCATCAGAGAGATAGCAGCAACATTTGGAGTGGCCAAATCAACAGTTTGGTACATTCTGAGGAAAGAAGAATGCACTGGTGAGCTCCGCAGCATAAAAAGGCATGGACGTCTACGGAAGACAACAGTGGTGGATGATCACAGGATCCTCTCTATGGTAAAGAAAAACCCATTCATAACATCCAGACAAGTGAAGGACACTCTCCAGGAGGTGGGCGTATCATTGTCAAAGTCTACAATCAAGAGGTGACTTCACGAGAGTAAATACAGAGGGTTCATCACAAGGTGCAAACCATTGATAAGCCTGAAGAATAGAAAAGGCAGATTAGACTTTGGCCCAAAAAAAAAACAGAAAAAAAACTGGAAAAGCATTCTTTGGATGGATGAAATTAAGATTAATCTGTACCAGAATGACAGGAAGAAAAGTGTGGAGAAGGCTTGGAACAGCTCATGATCCAAAGCACACAACGTTATCTGTAAAACATGGAGGCAGTGTGATGGCATGGGCCTTCATGGCTTCCAGTAGCACTAGGTCATTGGTTTTATTGATAATGAGAGAGAGAGAGATACTCACTCTGCAATTGCTGTGGAGAATCACGGTGTCAGAGAGAAGACTGGGTATCAGAAACCTGGGGAGGGGGGGTATGCCTGAGGAGCACACAGGGGAGGCCCAGATGGGAAATCAAATGCACACACAGCAATGATAGGTGCATTACAAGTTATAGGGGTAGTTACAAGCACAGATCTCCCTGTATGGCTTTCAGTGAAGCAGCTTGAAACCGCTTCTCTTCCTCCTGCGGCTTTCAGCTGCTTCATTGAAAGATGTACAGGGAGATCGGTGCTTGTAACTGTCCACCACTGCACCGATCATCCCTGACTTTGGTCCTGATACATATCATCCATGGGTGCAGGGTGTTCACAGTACAGTGGGCCCCCCCCCAACCCTCAGGACCTTTGTGCAGTGAACACCCTGCACCCATGGATGATACGCCACTGCTTTAGTTATTGAACCTTTTTTTTATTCCAGCAAAGCAGTTACACTGGTCCAGGTAAGCCTTTTAAGGGAATTTCTAGCCATCATCACCTGGATTAAAAAAGTAAATTATATATATTTTTTTTTAATCTATAACCTAATAAAGAAAATATAGAAAAAAGCACCCTAATACTAAGGCATTTAGATACCCATCTAAGTGTATCTAAATCAAGACCAACAATGTAATCTATTGCAGGTTTCCAATCCATAGATGTGGTTCCTGCATAAGGTTTTCTTCTTCTGTCCTAGGGTGAGGATGCTCTCATACCCATTGAAATTTTCCACATTTTTGTCATGTTACAACCGAAAACATAAATGAACTTTATTGAGCTTTTATGTGACAGACCAACACAAAGTGGCACATAATTGTGAAGAGGAAGGAAAATGATAAATGCTTTTCAAAATTTTTTACAAATAAATATCTGAAAAGTGTGGCATGCATTTGTATTCAGCCCCTGAGTCAATACTTTGTAGAACCAACTTTTGCTGCATTTACAGCTGCAAGTCTTTTTGGGTATGTCTCTACCAGCATTGCACATACTAGAGAGTGAAATATTTGCCCATTCTTCTTTGAGAATCTGTGGCAAGACTTGCAAATTGCTGTGCAATTGGATTTAGGTCTGGACTTTGACTGGGCCATTCTAACACATGAATGTGCTTTTGATCTAAACTATTCCATTATAGCTCTGGCTGTACAGTATGTTTAGGGTCGCTGTCTTGCTGAAAGGTGAACCTCCATCCCAGTCTCAAGTCTTTTGCAGACTCTAACAGGTTTTCTTCTAAAATTGTCCTGTATTTGGCTCTATCCATCTTCCCTTCAACTCTGACTACTTCCCTGTCCCTGCTGAAGAAAAGCATCCACACAATATGATGCTGCCACCACCATGTTAAACGGTGGAGATAGTGTGTTCAAGGTGGTGTGCAGTGTTTTTAGTTTTCCACCACACATAGTGTTGCTTTTCGGCAAAAAAGTTCAATTTTGGTCTCATCTGACCAGAACACCTTCTTCCACATGTTTGCTGTGTCCCCTACATGGCTTCTCACAAACTGAAAACGGGACTTCTTATGGCTTTCTTTCAACAATGGCTTTCTTCTTGCCACTCTTCCATAAAGGCCATATTTGTGGAGTGCACGACCAATAGTTGTCCTGTGGACAGATTCTTCCACCTGAGCTGTGGATCTCCGCAGCCCCTCCAGAGTTACCATGGGCCTCTTGGCTGCTTCTCTGATTAATGCTCTCCTTGCCCAGCCTGTTGGTTCTGTTTAGGTGGATGGCCATGAATTGGTAGGTTTGCATTTGTGCCATACACTTTCCATTTTCAGGTGATGGCTTGAGCAGTGCTCCGTGAGATGTTCAAAGCTTGGTATTTTTTTTCCTGCTTTAAACTTATCCACAACTTTATCCCTGACCTGTCTGGTGTGTTCTTTGGCCTTCATGATGCTATTTGTTCACTAATGTTCTCTAACAAATCTGAGGGCTTCACAAATCAGCTGTATTTATACTGAGATTAAATTACACACACGAGGACTCTATTTACTAATTAGCTGACTTCTGAAAGCAATTGGTTCCACTAGATTTTAGTTAGGGGTATCAGAGTAAAGGGGGCTGAATACAAATGCATGCCACACTTTTCAGGTATTTATATGTAAAAAAATTGTGAAGACCATTTATCCTTTTCACAATTATGTGCCACTTTGTGTTGGTCTATCACAGTGTTCTTCAAACTGCGGTCCGCAGGCTGAATGTGGCCCTTTGCTTGCTTCTGTCTGGCCCTTGGGGCACTATTCCATCCACTTACACCAACAATTGGGCATGCATCCTCTTATTGACACCAAGACACCAATGAAGGGCACAATTCCTGCTAACTGCACCCACCAACAATTGGGCACAATTCCTACTATTGACACCAACAATTGGGCATGCGTCTTCTTATTGACACCAACAATTGGGGATATGTCCTTCCAATGACACCAATGATGAGGCATTGTTTACTCCCACTAACACCGGGAAATTTTCTACTCCCATTGGCCTCAGTCTGACCCCCACAAAGTCTGAAGGACAGTATACTTGCCCTTTGGAAAGTTTGGAGACCCCTGGTCTATCACTTAAAATACATGACAAAATGTGGAAAATTACAAGGGGTATGAATACTTTTTCAAGGCACTGTATATCTATTGAGAGGTAGCATTGTCACCCTAGGGCAGCACTGTAGAACATATCGCCCCTCTCCATAACATAACATGTGGGGGAGGTGTTTCGTTATCCCCAGAGAAGGATAGAGTGCAGCACAGGTAGTCTTCAGCTCACAAGATTTGTAGCAGGATCAAAAGAAAAATATATATATATTTGTAGCTTCAGGGGAGTGGTTGGCGGGTACCTTGTCCATTATGAAATGTCATGCACCCAAATTGTTTGTTTGTATTGGGTGACATTTTGTATGCATTACTGTACTGTATTTATGGTTTTAAATGCTTTCTAATACTAGTGATCCTTCATGTGACCATTGTTTCTTGAAGCTGTTTTAACACCATGACTCAAGTACATTGAAGTGTTTTTTGAAGGATTACCCTCATCAACAGTAATTACCAATTATGAGACCAGATTATATGAACTGTGGAAACAAAGTAATTTCTGTATATGTAAGCTTACTGTGATATTTGAGGACTGTAGTTCAGAAGTATGGCTGATTACATCACTTGGCTGCTCTTCTGCACCATTACAGTAGAGGATTGCCCTGTCATGGTTCAAGTTTCCAAATGGCTTTATATGCTTAAAAGGAAAAAAAAAATCCTAAAACTTGTGAAAGCCAGATATATATGTAACCTTGTGATGAGGGCCAATGAATCAAGTATACTTGAATATAATATTGCATGCTAAATGCTTGACAACAGCTTCATTGAAAATGGGACAAACCCTAATATAATAGTTTATTATTATAATGCTGCCACATTTTGCTGGAGAGATAAATTAGGCTGTTGGTCAACAGCTGCTCATCACTAGCTTTTGTCCCTATCAGAGAGCTTTTACTTTTCACATGAGCTAAGGAAACTAGAGCAGAACTGGAGGAGTTACCCACAGCAAAATGATTGCTGGCTGTTTAATTTGAAACATGAAACCTTATTATTTTCAATGTATAATTCCAGTATTTCAGTATCCAGTATTTCAACTATTACATTTGTTGTACTAACCCTTTTGTCTACCTAGGAAGATTATGCGGGGATCATATTCCAGAGCCGATAATATCAACTGACAGTAGGCTATGGATTGAATTCCGAAGTAGCAGTAATATCCTTGGTAAAGGTTTCTTGGCATTTTATGAAGGTAGGTGCCAGTTCAATGTCTGTGCTATGCATACTGAAATATACATAAACTTTTCATGAGCACAATGTTGTGCCTACTGATCACAAGGGTCTGGTGTTGTGTGTTTTTTTGTTTTAACTAAAAAAAAAAAAGAAAAAACAAAACTAGGATGTATCCACGGAACACCGCCTACCTGCTGAATAATCACATTTTCATCCAGGCATTGCTTTACTGCACCGTATCACCTCACTCCCTTTTTTATGTAATATTTTGATTCTGGATTACACTCACTGGTGTTCTTGAAACATCCTTTTTGCTGTCCTTTGCATACAAATTTTGGTATGCTAAAAAAATAAAAATACAATGCTAAGATGTTTTCTACACTTGCCAATAAGACTGAAACCAGTTTTGGAAGTTTGAATATGATCAGTGCTACAGGAAGCAGTAAGCAAGACAGAAGTTACAGCAGATGCCCTATGAACTACAGTCCAACTGACCATGTAAGGAGGGAGCTGTGTGTGCGTATTCCTTGACTTTAGCACCATACCATTTCTGAGTTAGTTGAAGTGTTTGCTGGAGAGAATGTCAAGGTCCTACCTTTCCTCAGGGCTTGTGCTGCTCCATGTGCTGGCATCCATCTTAGGTGTCTGCAAAGCATTGTGGGATCCTTTATGCTTTCAGCCCTCTGCGGCTCCTCCCCTAGGAGGTGGCGGCTTATCACATATAAGTCTGCAGTTTGTAGCTGTCCATTGCATTCGTGTCCTGTCTGTTGCACAGCAGCAAGCTCCTGTTTAGTTTCTCATTGCTCTCCTGGATACCGACTCGGCTTTGGCAAGACTCCTTCCTGGGTTTCTGACCCCGGCTCTGGTGACCATCCTTCCTGGCTTCTGACCCCGGCTCTGGCGTCATCCTTACTGGCTTCTGACCCCGGCTCTGACGATCATCCTTCCTGGCTACTGTTCTACCAAGTCATCCGCTGTTGCTGTTGGACTTGCATAGACTCTGTCTTGTTTTGTATAATAAACCTACCTTTAATTGCACCTCCTTGTGTGTCTGGCTCCTCGCTCCCTGACAGAGAATTTCATGCCCATGGAAGGGTTTTGCTTGTTTGGAATTGCAAAATAACAAGTTAACTTTAATTTACCCCTTTCTATTTGGTCACTAGGAGTAAAAAAACAAATTCCAGTGTAAGTTATGGATGGCGAGCGCTGTAGACTTCTTGTGTTTTTTGATTAGCCCAGCACTGTCACATGTTCCTCTGGATCTGGAAGTATTGGGCATTTTCTTTATCTCCTAGAGCTAAGCTGAGTAGCGGTGAAGGGAAAAAAAAAGGTAAGTATATGCTGGTAGAGATGATGGATATAGTTTGTTTGTTTTTTTTTTTTTTTTTTTTATTATTATTATTATTCTGAGTTGGTCTAGTCACTAATTTTAGGGGAATACTTTTTTTTGTTTTTTTAATACGGGCCAACATTTCTGTTTCTTATGGTATATCGTAATTGGCAGTCATTGCTGTTTTAAAAGCTATTGTACTGTATATTGCAATATTTTTGGTCATATGTTTTAACTGGCAGATATTTGTTACTTTCAGCTAAGTGTGGAGGTAGTTTAAAAAAGGACATGGGTCAGATACAGTCTCCTAATTATCCGGATGATTATCGGCCAGATAAATACTGCGTTTGGACGATTTCGGTCTCTGAAGGATATGTAGTTGGTCTTGCCTTCCAAACTTTTGAGGTAAGCTACTACTTATTGGGATGTATATTCTTTATTTAGACTTGCAGCTCTTGTTATCCGCTGGAAGTTCTAATATATTATTGATAATTAAAAAATCTGTAATTTTGCTGTACAATTTCCAGCCTCTTAAACAAAAAAATGGGTTATGATCTCTTGGGCCATCTGCTGTATCCTTAGGGTCATGCACGAAACAACTAGGGGCCTCTTCATACAGTTGTCCATTTGCCCTTAGAATCCATGTTTACTCTTTCTTGATAAAGCGGATAAAAATCTAGTGGCTGTGAGCAACACACAAAATCGTCCTATAAAAGCTTTCAATTGGAAATTTTATAATGTTTGAATCTTACAGGCTCTGAAGGTTTGTACGGCAGTAAGGCACATTAGCTGCTTTAGTATTTTTGTTTATATGGCTACACCTTCACTGGGTATCTTCCTCTGATTTCTTTTTTAAACTTCTCCCCATCTGCATTTTTTATGTATTCTCTACTTCCACTGCTTTCAAAAAGCTGGATGTGTTTTATTTGCTTTAGCCTTTGGTATTTATTATTAAATAAAGAAGAGTGACATGCCATGAGTGCCCTGGATTTTGTTTTCTTTGAATTGCTGTATTTTACTTCTGGTGTACATGGCAGGATTTTGTTTTAATGTTTGCTCTCTATTTAAAGGTATAGTGGGTTGTAAAAAAAAAAAAAAAAAAATTGCATGTATAAGCTACACATTGGTTTAACATATCTAGTTTACCAAGATTCCTTTAAAGTTGAACTCCATACATTTTTTTATGATTTTGGACAGTGTGAGAAGGGGTTTGCCGTTTTTGTCATTTATTGCAGTTTGTGTCCACATACTATTTGTCTTTGCAACCTCTGTATCAATAAGACGAAAAAAATGCAGGAAAACAATAAAATGTTACCATTGTCACAAGAACAGTAGATAGAGGAATGTCTTCCAATGGGGACCTCTGTTCTGTGAAATCCTGTTAGAAGTTTAAATGTCCCTGTATTTGGGGAGATTTGTCTGTAGGGCAGGAAGTGTAGGGAAATCTCTACAATGTAGGAAGGAAAGAATTAGAACTTTTTCCAAACTCTATTTAAACTTAAAAAAAATACATAACTGCTGTTTATTTGATTGCTAATGTAATTTATTAGGTATCAAACAATTTTTATGCTCTACAGTTTGAACCACATGATAATTGTCTGTATGACCACCTCCAAATACGTGATGGCCCTTCAGAAGATAGTCCGTTGATTGGACAATTTTGTGGCTATGAGAAGCCTGATGATGTTAAATCTACCTCAAATACTTTGTGGATAAAATTTTACTCTGACTCTTCCATCAATAAAGCTGGTTTTTCTGCCAACTTTTTCAAAGGTATTTGTGTTGCACCCATGTCCATAGTTGCTGCATTCATTTCATTATGTTTTGGTACATGTGTACATAAGTACATCTTTATTACCAGATTTTATTAAAAATTTACAGAGTGATACTAGATAAAACCATTATTTGGTATTTTATCTTTTGGATTAAGGTTACTGATATGTGTTTTTTTTTTTTTAACTTCGGTGAATTTATCATTTTCCTAGCAATATATCGCAAGCATTTTTCAAAAACCATGTCTATACCCTTTTCCTAGTGTTTATACATTTGAAGACATAATTATCTGTCCTTTACTTTGAAAAGGGAACCCGAGTTGTCTCAAAAATTTTAATATTGCTTCACTCAGCCAATTAAATGGGTCACTTTATTCTACTTTTCTAAGGAAAAAACAAATATACTCTTAAAGGCCTACTTGTATGAAACTGTTCATCAAAATTAGGTAAGATATTGGATAGGCTGTAAATGTTTTTGGGACAACTAGAACTGTTCCATAATAAAAATCCAAAAGGATTGCGCATCTATATTGTACACATAATCATGTGCATATGACTCAAACATTACACCATCTCAGTGGTTTACAACATAATATGCTGTTATTAAAGTCCCAAATAGTGAAATACAGGTGAAACTCTAAAAATTAGAATATCGTGCAAAAGTTCATTTATTTCAGTAATGCAACTTAAAAGGTGAAACTAATATATGAGATAGACTCATTACATGCAAAGCAAGATGGTTCAAGTCGTGATTTGTCATAATTGTGATGATTAATGCTTACAGCTCATGAAATCCACAATCTCAGAAAATTAGAATATTGTGAAAAGGTGCAATATTCTAGGCTCAAAGTGACCCACTACAGAGTACCATTTTGAGCTGTTGCAGTGAAATTTCAGCAATATGGACTAGCCTAATTTTTTTCACTTTGATTTTCAGGGTGTCTTTGAATTCAGTCCTGTAGGTTAATTCTTATTTCCATCAAACGATGGGGCATCCTTGCATTCCTAACACATTACCCAGTCCATATCAGTATAGATATCAAGCATGATATTTTTTCTCCATTGAGATCTGATGTGTTTTTCAAAGTGCTCCTTTAATTTTTTTTGAGCAGTGTATATATAATAGACTTTTCTCTATAAATGTCAGTCTGGGCTTCTAAATGTTTAATTATGGCTGGACAGATCATAACAGCATTCAGGAGCCAGTCAGTCTCACTTTAATACTCATGTAGCATGTGCTTCCATTATAGCCAATATGGAATTGTGTGTAATGCCTGTGAGATGCATCTTATGCATCATAGTAATTTGTATTAGAACCTTTATTAGGTACAGTCAAAGTAGATCCAAGTAACATTCTTAGTACAGTAGGTAAGAACAATCATTCACTGGTGGTTAAGTGCTTGTGAACATGAAGATTAGTTAAAGGTAGAAGCATCCCCGGTATAACACCGCTATCATGCCACCAGTAAGGGCATGTAAGGTGACACACAAAGGCCTACAATTGTTTTTTGTTGCTGAAATCCTCTGGTGGATCTTGGATTGTGTAGTGTACTGGGAGCATGTATGGAGCATATTCATGTGTTCTAGCTTAGAAGATCAGCGATCGCTGTATTGGGCAGTGTCATGTCTTACATCTGTTAGCAGTAATGGGAAATGAAAAGGACCAGAGAATTAAAGATATATGAAATTTTTTTTTTAACTTTTAATATTCAGCTGTATACTTTGTGTTTGGTGGTTCTTAGAGGATCCTCACCGTAACCCAGTCCAAAGATTCTTACATACTATTCCCAATGCGCATTTCTGAAAAATGGCTGTGTATGTAAATGGGTGCTGCAGTGACCACCGGCTTGAACCGAAGATTATTAGTGAGAGAATTGCACCAGCACACCATGGATCTTCAGCACAGGTCCAAAGCTTTATTCAGCAATCACATCAAAGCAAAAAACATTTTTGGAGCTTTGCAGGAACACATTACTAAGCATGTTATGTGGTCACATTCCTAATGAAGGGGTCTTGCGAGGCTCTGAAACATTGCTTTTGTTGTGATGATGTGATCACTAAATAAAGATTTGGACCAGTTCGGAAGATCCATGGTATGCTGCTGACATTCTATCCCTCACCATAACCCAAGGTCATCAAAAGCCTGAAAACTTTGAGCTTGTGTTTGATGTTCGAGATGGAAGAATTAATTACTTTCATGTTTGATCCGCTTATAAAATGTTCCATCATTGACTTTCTTGTTAGTAAATACTCCATTACCTGATTTAGCATTGCTGATCTTTTATTTTTGAAAAGAGATGGATGAGTGTGCAAGGCCTGATAATGGAGGATGCGCTCAGCGTTGTGTTAATACTCTGGGAAGTTATAAATGTGTCTGTGATCCTGGATATGAGCTGACTCCAGACAAGAAAAACTGTGAAGGTGAGTATGTCATGGTGTAAGTGATCAAAGCTATAATACATTCAAACCAGGCTTTGTAGGCATTATTCAGGATATTATAAAGAATATTTAGTAATATCTTTTATCCCTTTAGTTTTTTTCTGAAAGAACATAATGACACTTTTTTTTATGTATTTAAAAAAAAAAAGACCTTAAAAGACGCTGTGTTCTATGCATACCTCTCCTTAGTCTATATTATGTATTAGACACTGTCAGTTTGGGATTAGAGGCAGCTGAGCCATTTTTAACTGGACACCTTTCTACGGGTAAGAATATTTTACAATTACCATCCACTATTGCGTTTGTCTGAATAGTTTTGTAACAGTATGGCAGTGAGACAGTAAGGTACCTCTTAAACGGTTTTCAGTAGGTTCATACATAACCAGTTAAAGACGTCTGTTCTTGATGTGTAGTTCTAGTATGCCCAGAAAAATTTGGTAACGATGGAATGTATCAATGATTTAAAGAGTAACTCCACTTTTTTTGAAAAGAAAAAAAAAATGGCATATACAATTGCGAGACATTGTATTTGAATGTTATTAAAAATTACCTTTCCTTTTCAATCAGCAGCATTTTATGTAAAATGCAATGCTATATGGCTACCCGGAGGTGTTCTATACACAGAACATGTACAGAATGCCCCCCAGCAACATCGTTTCCGGCTTGTGTGATTGGCTCACTGATATTCCCAAACGTCTGCACTAAGATACAAGTCAGATTTCAGGCATCCCCTGCAAAAAATGGTGAGATACTCCTGAAGGGAAATCCCATCTAAGTCTAGGTTCACACCTATGCAGGTTGCATTTGAGGCGGTTCTGCATTGCATTTCTGCACTTGACTTTTTTGCCCCGTTTTGCTGGGTTTTTTTTTTTTTTATCTTGTTGCTGGGCAGACTTTAAATGCAAAACTTAGCAAAAACAAAATACATTATTTTCTGCAGCATTCCCATTGTGGTATATAGAACCAAAAATGCAATGTTTTGCGTTTAAAAAAAAAAAAGTCCATGACCCTTTCCAAAAAACGCACCGGGTGAAAACGCGAAGATGTGAACCTGTCCCACAGGAAATCATATTAAATTGACTTTACTGCATTTCTGAAAAATGCTGCAGAAAAGGCTTAGGTGTGAACCTGGCGTAAAGCGATGCAGACCTGGCAATTGTCCCCATTAGAGTCCTGGAGGTGCAGCAATTGATTGATATTTAGGAACCACTCCCATTCTCATTCATTTTGCACATGGACACAGACAACCTTCCATCTTTTTCTTCAGAATAACAAAAGGTAGGAATCTGTAACAAAGTTTTGTTAAATTCCTTGTAATGTATATAGATCACCCAGAGAGGAATGTTTTTGTGTTTTTCTCAACATAAGTGGAGTTACCCTTTATAGTGAAGCTGTAGGTGAGCCTTTTTTCTTTTATCAGCATTTATGGTCTACTTTTCTTGTAGTTGCCTGCGGAGGTTTCATCACAAAACTAGATGGGACAATAACAAGTCCTGGCTGGCCAAATGAATATCCTATGAACAAAAACTGTGTGTGGCAAGTGGTAGCTCCAGCACAGTACAGGATATCACTGCAGTTTGAAGTCTTCGATATTGAGGGCAATGATGTAAGTTCAATACACGAAGAGATGATTAGCTCGCACTTGTTACTGTTCTAAATTTTTGTATTTTTCCACAATTTCTAATGCTCAGAAATTCTACTGTGCAAAAAAGGAAAATATATTATTTGTATTAATCTTACATGATCATTTCCTTAGGTTTGCAAGTATGACTATGTGGAAATTCGCAGTGGTCTAACTTCAGAGTCAAAGCTACATGGAAGATATTGTGGCTCTGAAAAACCAGAAGTTATTACATCACAAGGCAACGGTATAAGACTGGAATTTAAATCTGATAACACAGTGTCCAAAAAAGGATTTAAAGTAAACTTTTTTTCTGGTAAGGAAAGTCCTCAAATATTAGAATTCTAGAAAGAACACTGAAAGAAGTGGTCACCAAAAGCAAAGTCTGCCAATATAGTCACTGCATGCATTCTAAAAGGTGTGCAAGCGTAAGAAATATATTTATCTCCTCTCTAAGAGGCTACAGTACTCCTTTTTTTTACAATCCTCTAAGCTTCCTCTTTCACCAGAGATGGGACATCCATTTCAGTTATAGAGGGTCAGCAACATACAGAAATGAGGCATATGTGTCCTTTCTGACTACTCTGCTTTAAGCTTTGTTTTTGGGTATAGTTTTTTGTTGTGTAGAACTCCTTTTTGCTCCTCAATCTGTGACCTACCAGTGTAATAACCAGCAGTTTCACAGAACGCTCAGTCATTCATCTTACGTTTGTATTTAAGTGGCTGCTTAAAGGTCAACTTCACCTTTAGTGAATTTTTGTCCTTAAAACAAATCCCCCCAAGTGGAGCCCATCTGGGATAATACTTCAGCACTGAGCCAGCAATCTTCCCTCTGACATGGTTCTGGCTGGCTCCTCTTTATATTTTGCTTAAGCTCCACCCCATATATTTCTATGGGTAATTGTACAGATTTCGGTCTCCAGCAGTCCCTTAGAGTATGGCTCATCCATATGAATGGGGCCTATGACATGCATGTTGTGTAGGAAGACAAGTGATTTGGGACTGTGTTTGAGGATCACTGTATTGGGGCTAAAGGTTAAGTTTAATCCAAGGTGAGCTGAACTCCAGTCATAACTTATGTTCAAACTGTAAATAAAAACCTCAGCAAAGTTTTTTTTATTTTTTGTTTTGTTTTTTTCTTCTTTGTGCCTTCCTGTCTCTGTCCCCGTTTGCCTCATTTCTTGTCTTGTTGAGTCGGGCAGCAATAAATGTTGATGGAGGTTCTAATCCTTCCCCACTCTATTTAAAACAAAAGCAAACTGTGTCTGGATTTAAGTTCCCAGGTCTTCATACCTGTGGTGGCATTTACAGGGGGGTTCTATTCTCTGGAAATGCCCACATTATAAGAATGGGAACAGAGACCATAAGGAAAGGCTTGAGAATCTAGCTGCTATTGTACTAGAGTAGAGCTCTTTAAAAAAGCTAGCTTGTGATTCAGTGCTCTGTCTAGCTAAAAGTTCATAGTTTATCGTTGGACTGTGTAAGGGGTTTTCCAGTCCTCAATGGATCATACACTGTTTAAGAGTTTTAGTTGATTCAGGGGAACTGGCTAAAATTCTAACAGTGGGTGGCCTTGCCTGCTCAACAGAAGTTATTTGTCAAAGGAGACAAATTTTTGGCCTTTCAGCTGAAGGCACTGTTTGGATATTCCAACAGAACACAATAGCCTAGCAGGGTAGACATATCCATCCATTGCATTTGTGTGAATTGAGGAATCTGTTGGATTCCATTAATTCAGCCCATAGTGTGTATTTTGCTAGTGTATGGCCAGCCTTAAGGAAGGTATACACCTAATGTTTTTTCATTTAACCAGCAGGTTGAATGAGAAAAAAACTCATGGATCCCCACATCCACACAAGCGATGTGGATGCAGGGATCTCCCGCGCTGCCCTATTGTATTCTGACAGTGTAGACACTCATCCCTCATAAAAATGCACAGATCAGCTCTGCAGCCATTGGCTGTAAGCTTTGATCAAATGCTGGTTTTCCAGCAGGACAGCAGGCGGTTGTTAGACCAGCTTCGGATGAACAGAGGATTACACATGGACCAAAGTTCAGGCAGTTCCTGCTGAATTGGGCAAATTTTGGTACATGTGTACCAGGCTTTATTTACATATGTGTAAATGGGTATTTGGTGCAGTACACCTCTTTATGGGATTGATGGCATGATCTTGTTTAAAATGGTAACCTTGAACCACTGATTGGCACAGTAAACATTAGCCTACATTTTGTAGCATTTTAAGTTTTCTATGTGTTGTTTAACAGAAGTGCTCTAGCCACCATAGACCATTAATATATGGCCACTTGTTAATGCCCTGACTGTAATATCCAGTATAGGGGTTAACAAGCAAGTAATAACAAGCATCTGTGAGCATCAAAAGTGATTGTCATAACTCTACCCCTTGAACAAGAAATCATACCTTTTTAACTGTGTATGTGTGCTCAACATCAACTTTATGCTAGTCAGATGGGTATTTTTCAGGGACATTGGAAACATAACAGAGCTTCAATCGTTTGTTTTGTGTGAAAGATCTGCTTTTATGAGCAGCCCTATATTGACGGGTAAAAGAAGGTACCTCCTGTTAATGGACATGAAATCCCCAATTAATTTTTACTGATAGTGTAAAATGCCTTGTTCAAGCACTGGTGCATCTGAATACAGTATATGAACCTTACATCTGCATCCATCAGCTGGATATTGCAGAGTACAACTGCACCAACTAGCATAACATCGGTGTAACTGCAAGATGTAAACTGTTTTCAAGGTCATGTATGCCACCATTGCATGGCAACATATCAAAGCTGCATCTGCCTGTTTTACAGATAAGGATGAGTGTTCCAAAGAAAATGGAGGCTGCCAGCACGAGTGTATCAACACATTTGGCAGCTATATGTGCCAGTGCAAAAATGGCTACACGCTTCATGACAATGGACATGACTGTAAAGAAGGTAAGTTCACTAAAAGAAATCTGTCATAACAGAAATATGAGGGCTACTTATGTACACCCCTCTTCTGAAAGTGGCTAGCTGCCTTGCTGTGATGCTGTTCAATGGCTTTAGTAATTTTTGAGTCACTGACCAAGAAAAAGCATGTAAATCAGTAGTTCTGATGTCCCTTACTGCATGTTTGTTCTGGGTAAATGACCCACAAAGTATTGAAGAAAGACAGTTGGGCAACTAGTGTTTTCTAAAGGAGGTTAGAATTGGTAGACCATGCATTTATTTTATGACAGGGTTCCTTGAAAATTTTAATGCACATTGATATTGCCATTGCAAAATAAGACTGTTTAATTGACCTGAAATGTATGTCTGGGCAAAATATTTTAAAAATATATCCAGTACATTTCTGCAGAAGAATGTACTTTCTCATAGGATTTACCCCGTAAAAAACGAATACAGAAAAAATACATGTTCTGTCAAAAATCTGATGAGCTGACAAAGCTGCCTCTGTTGCACTGAAATCCCAAACAGTGTTTTCAGCACTGCCGGAGTTTTCCCTGCTGGATTTTAGATGATTTCCCTGCTGGATTTTAGATGATCCCCCTCAATTATATTCTAAGATGAGTGGTTGTGTTGTGTGCTATAGTCCAGCAGATGGAACTTGGCAGGGCTGACAACACTGCTTGAGATTTCATTTCAGCACACTGTGTTGTCAGCTCCTTGGAGGAAATTACTTAGTGGATTGTTGGCAGGATCAGCATGTGCTTTTCTGTACTTGCAGAGTTTTTTTTTAATTTAATAAAACATGGGGAAATGTGCATGTATTACACAGATGTGCTGCGTGTTTTATTTTGCCCAGACGTGCATTTTGATAAAATAGTATCAACACATTGCAAGATTGCACAAAAGACTTATACATTCACACTCGAACATACAAGCAAGCACCCAGATAAAGCATAATCCAAAGAAATACAGTATGTCTTTTCAAATTAATTATACAGTGCTACTTTGTCACCTTATCAAAGAAATACAAGAAGTAAGATCAGAAAACCTGAAAAAAGACAAATAAAAATAAAAGTGAAAATAAACCAAGCACTTAAGTCCAGTGCATCTTTAAAGTGTCCATGCGTCAAAGAATCCAGAAGGTGCTATAAACTGTGTAGCCAATGCTTCCAATTGCTGATCGTATATCCATACTCAAGTGATCCTCCACTAACACACCAGAGAACTCATCAACTTATCTGACCACCGGCTACAGGTAAGTCTCACAACACTTATTGAACAGCGGTTGCCACCATCCACATCCACTGAAAACGAGAAGCGCACCAACCTTGCGCATTACCTCAGTAACCAAAATTTATTAATTGTAAAAAATATACTCACAAACAGCGAATAAAATCAGGCATGTAAGTCCTCACAGGGACTTGAAGCTAACATGAGTCCCATCAGGGGAGTAGGTGTTCAGTACAGTTTGGTGCGCTTCTCGTTTTCATTTCATTCTGCAGTGTTGATTGGGCTTCCCCAGCCTTGTTTTGGAGCCGCACAGCCCTTTATGCATTGGTGGACGATCCCTCCAGGCCTGGTTCCATCTGTTCGCCACCTGTCTGAGCCCTAGAGCGCAGGAGAATTCGTTTTTGATCTACCATCCACATCCAGCCAGGGCCAGCCACTTCTCCTCTCACCATTGTTTAAAATGCATTAAGGAGTGTGTCATCAGGGAGATGAGAAAAAAACCACATAGTGTAAAAACTTTTAAACCTTTATTAAAATACTAAAAACAGCTAAACGATCCCTACTCACATTGTAAAGTGCAATGGCTCACACAAAAGAAAATGCGCTTGTTTATAACATCAGATATGCTGGAGTACCTGCTGTATACACTCCTATTGTGAGCTGTCCCTTTCTGCTTCTTCTTGGGTGTATAATGGCATCACTTCTAGGTGTACTGTGCGGGATGACATCCCCGCCTGCTCCGCCCCTACACCCAGAAGTGATGCCATTATACACTCGGGAGGAACACTTTACAGTGGGGATCCTTAAGGTGTTTTAGTATTTTAATAAAGGTTTTGTCAGGGCTGGGCTCCTGCTACTTATCGAGCAGCTTTTTTGTCTCAGTGCTCAGAAGCTGCTCAGCTGTCAGTTAATTGCCAGCCACTCATTGTCTCCACAGTGATTCACCTGGATACCATTACCTACCTCATTAGTCTAGCCCACATACAGCCCTTTTTGCTATTTTAGCAGCTTAGCTCCTATCCTCCTTGCCCCTGAGTGATCTATGATCTCCAGTGTGTACCTGTCCGTATTCCTGTGTACAACTTGGTCTGGCTGACGCCTTCTGATTCATGTTCCTGATTTTTGGCTCCTGACTACACTGACTTCTGCTTTCATGACCCTGGTTCATCTGATTACGCACTCTGGCATCCAAACCCTGTCTTCCGTTTTGACTACATTCCTGAACTGTTATTTTTTCTTTAAATTTAATTTAAAGGTGTGATTTTTTAAACTGCACTTTGTCTCCGCCTGGTTCATGGTTTCTGAAAGATTTAAAGGTTTTTGTTGGTTTTTCCTTGCCTTCCTTATGACATAATCCTTAATTCATTTTAAACATCGGTGAGAGGAGAAGAGAATTGACTGGATGTGGATGGTGGTAAGCTCTGTTCAATAAACACTGTATGACTTGCCTGTAGCGGGTGATCATATAAAGTTGGTAAGTTCTCTGGTGTGTTGGAGGAGGATCACTGGCGCATGGATATAAGATCAGCATTTGGAAGCATTAGCTACACAGGTTATAGCACTTTATGGATTCTTATATAAAGTGTCCATGTATCAAAGTAAGGACACTTTAATGATACACTGGACTATAAGTGCTTGGTTAATTTTCACCTTTATTTTTCTTCTTTACTTCCATGTTTTCTGATCTATTTGTATTTATTTGGGCAATACAGTGGCTAAATGGTTAGCACTTCCGCCTGGCAGTACTAGGGTAGTTGGTTTAAATCCCAACCATGGCACCACCTGCCTGGAGTTTGCATGTTCTCCCTGTGCCTGCGTGGGTTTCCTCTGGTACTCCAGTTTCCTCCCAAACGCCAAAGACATGCTGGTAGGTTAATTAGATCCTGTCTAAATTGGCCCTAATGTTCATGGGTTAGGGACTTTAGATTGTACGCCCCTGAGAGGGTTAGAGACCGATGTGAATGTACAATATATATATGTAAATTGACAGTGATATATAAGTACCTGTAATAAAGAAAAAATTGATAAGGTGACACAAATGTACTGCTGTGTAATTGAATTGCATATACTCTAAATGCCCTTTAGAGTAGGTGTATTGATTTAAAATTCAGTGAGGTCCGGTTACTAAAAATTTCTTCCGGCTGAGATCCAAATCTCAAGTTTGTTCTGTGACAGAGCCATGCAAAAATTTACTAAAATTTTGCCAGTATGTGAAATTGTGTCACTCAGCATTTTGATGCCGAACTGGGTGTTTCAAATAGTGGCTCCAGTATTGCTTTTAGGATGGCGTAGCAGATGTGATGGTGTTTCCCAAGAGTTACATTCAAGTCATGCCATGAATAATTGTCACATTTATTATTCATGGCATGATCTGTCAAGCCATCAAATGGCTGGTATCATAACTGATCACATGTGCAGCCCATCAGGGTGCCCCTTTCCATTGTATGTGCCCATCAGAATGCCCCTTATTTTATGTTAGGGGGCACTCTGATGAGCACAACATAAAATGTACCTATCAGAATGACCCTTAACACAATGTGCCCATCTGAGTACCCCCCTTAACATAAAATGTGCCCATCAGAGTGCTCCCTGTAAATTTCTTTGACGTGCACTTAAACATACCTTGAGGGCAAGCAGGGAGCGGGAGGCGGCAGAAGTAGCGAGCTGCAGGGGGTGGGAGCTGTGCTGAGGACCTTGCTAAGGGGCAGGGCACACCCATGACTTTATGCTATACCCTGCGGGCAGACCAAGAGAGCAAGCTGCAGGGGGTGGGGGCTGTTCTGTGAACCCTTCTAAGGGGGCGAGGTGCACCTGTGACATCACGTTATACTCTGTGGGTAGGCCAGGAGAACAAGCTGCAGGGGGTGAGGTGCACATGTGACATCATTGGTTTCTGTGACTCACGCAGTCCTGGCAGCCAATGACTGCTCAGCAGTGGGGATTTGGCAGTTTAAACTGGTGGGCTGATGGTCTGGACAGGAGCGTTGCTCAGTCAGTGTTCGGATCTCGGTCTGCTATTTGATAGCTGCTATAGAGCATTGGGATACAGCAGCTTTTGTTTGTGTGGTAAATCCCGGCGCTTGTAGTAATGCTTTATACAGTATGTCTTTTGAATACTGGGATGATTCACTTTGTGGTTCAAGGTACATAAATAAATAAATAATAAAAATTTAAATTCGTCAGGTTTTTTTACAAACATTTTCTTTAGCTTTAGTCATTAATAAAGTAAGGTATATGGAAATTTATTTCAATGTTTGACATTGTAGGGCTAGAGAAAACACAGGGTGGAATCAGAAAATGAGCTATGGAAATAATGAGTAAAATCCGAAAATACTCTTCACACTTGTTCTATGAAATGTCCATCTAACAGATAAAGCTCATATAACTATATATAGTAATTGTTGTGCTTTTCCTCCCAGAATGCTGTGCATGTAAATACATTACAAACTGGGATGTGTAAAAGTTTACTAGTTTTACTAGTGTTCATGGGTGAATATGTTCTCATTTTTTAAGGCTTCTAATAATAAGTTAGCCAGTAGAAGAGAAGAGAGTTTTTTTTTTGTGCCTCCCTTTTTGTATAAAAAAAAGTCTGAGAATAAATGGCCCGCACCTCATACTAGGTCGCTGTAAGGTTAGTGATATTTTAAAATTGCCAGGCTAAAATAAATTTACTATAAGATATGTTGGTCTTTGACCCATTTGTTCTCTCCCATGAAGAACTTAAGTGTATGTATACCCTAACAATGAACGTTTTCTTTTTGCTTTCTTTTGGTCTGTTAAATATATCAGCAGTGTTATTGGTTCTATGTGGGCTACAGAACACCGACCCTGTGTTATGGTGAGAGGGGGGAGGTGTTCTGTTGGCCTAATACTCCCTGTCCTTGGGTGACACTACTCCTCCATTGATCTAGTACAGTGAGCATTGTCAACCTAGGACATGAATTGTTACTGGCATGATCATCAGGTGAAAGTACAGAAGAAAATTCTGAAAAGAAACCAATGTACCACCACATCTAAGGAGTTGGAAGCTGCACAATATTACATCTTTTCCCTGGATTAAAGGACTAATGTTCCTTATGCAAGGGCTAATGTTGGATAAATGCTCAATAACCTGCCAGCAATTTCTACAGTTAGGGTGTGTCTTACATTAGAGTAATATGGAATATTTTACATAACCTAAGTTCCAAGTATTTGAATGCAAAAAGCCAGTGCATTGTTTGAATCCTTGCATGTTGCTAACACAGTGATTATCTCTAGCTGGCTGTGAACACAGACTTGTGAATTCTGAAGGAACCATTTCGAGCCCAAGTTATCCTGATAAGTATCCAAGCCGCAAGGAGTGCACGTGGGGCATATCCACTACTGCTGGTCATAGAGTCAAACTTGTAAGTGTACTTTAATTATTTAGCATTCCTAGTTGTCATATTCATAAAGGTAAAATACATATATTTGTAAATACTCTTGTGGATAAATCCTTCACCAGAGTAGTAAGAGGTTCATTTGTGTTCTTTCAAAGTAGCAGATGGTCAGCATTATCAGAAAATCTTAATTGGACATTGTCTTGACTTTTTTTTCTTTTCTTAGAAACAATTCGGTTCCTTGTTATAATTTGGCATAAATCACTGATATTTTGTTTCTGAAAATTAATGTTTTGTTTTTTTTGGACTTGCCTGTAAAGTTACATTTCTTGGAGTACATCATGGGACACAGAGCAGGCTGTAATCATTACTATCTGAGTTATGTGCTACATATAAGTGAATGGACACTGGCAGACCAAAAGCATATAGGAAGTCCTCCCCCTACCCCTCCCATTCAGGAAGTCCCTCAGTTTTGTAGTAAGCAATGGACCCCCAGAAAGAGGGGAGGGACATTCGTACCCCATGATGTATTCCAATGAATGGATTTTACAGGCAAGAAGAGAAAATCCAATTTTCTTTATCGTACATCACGGGACACAGAGCAGGCTATAATCATTACTATCTGGGATGTCCCAAAGCAATGCAGTTGAGGGGAGGGAGACAGACAAAAAAACATAAATCCTAAGGAACCTACTCTGCCATCTGCAACACACTGCGGCCAAAAGCAGTCTTCTTTGCGGCTCCAACATCTACTTGGTAAAAGCTCATGAACGCATGTACCGAAGACAATGTTGCAGCCTTGCAGACCTTGGTCACTGACACTCGATCACTAACACAAGCGCTCCCACACTCCTGGTAGAGTGCGTTTTTACCTGAAAAGAGGAAACGTTATCCTTCAAGCCATAGGCTTAAGTGATTAACTAGTGAATTGACTGCAAACTACCTGCCTTGGATGCCACCTGACCCTTCCTGGCCCTTCAAGCAGAACAATCGATCCGGACTGCCTGATCTGCACTGATAAAATTAAATAAATTCTGACAGCATGAACCACATCAAAAATGTGAAGAACTTCCTCTCCTGGAGACTGCGGGGAAAAAAGGAAGGCAAGACAATGTCCTCATTCAAAAAAAAACTTGAAACCACTTTCGGCAAAATACATGGATGAGGCCAAAACACCCCTTTTATCATGGTGAAGGACCAAAAATTGGCTCCTTACACAAAAGAACTGCCAGCTCTGATACCCTTCTCATCAAAGTGATCACAACTAATAAGAAAAGGAATTAAAAAACACCTTTTGAGTCAATAAGACTACCAGATAATCACAAATTGGATCAAAAGGTGGTTTCTGCAAAACTGCCAAACCCAAATTCAAACCCCAAAGCACAGTTTAACAGGCGGACCCATACTAGACACCCTTGAAGAAATGAACGAAACAACGAATGAGAAATCGGCCTCTGGAAAAACTGAGTCGATAACTGGCCTTTAATGGACCTTAATGGCAAATTTATCTCTACTCCTGTAAGGAGGCAAGGAAACAAGGTTTCCTGCCTTCAACAGAGTAGAGATAAATGGCCCAGAGACAGCCCAATTTTTCAGCACCTGGGCTTCAGTAGCCAAGCCGTCATTGAGCAATTGTAAAAGTGTGCAAGGCTAGTCCCTGAGACAGAAGGTCTGGCCAGACCGGAAATGCCCAAGGGCCGTCAACCGCCAAGTTCACGAAGTCCATCTTGTCATTGAGCCTGGGTATCGGCATATAACTCTTCTCTTGGCAGCCTGACCTGAGTGCCACCCTACTAATTGATACTGTGGCATTGTCAGACTAATTTTTTACTGAAAGACTCTGCAACCATTTGTCCAGTTATTTCAATTTATTTTATTATCTATTTCAAACCGAACAGCCCAAAACTCCAGAATATTGGTGGGCAAAATGCATTTCTTGAGGAGACTAGGATCTCTGTACTCAGGCAGATTCCAAAATGGCCCCCCAGCCAGACATACATTGATAGACATTATCTACCAGACTACTGGAAGGAAAGACTCCCCTTCTCCAGGTTCTGAGGAACCATCCAACAGTCTAACGCCTGTGACACACTGGGAGCTAGGGACATATGGCAATCCAGACGCTGAACCTTCCTGTTCATGCAGACAGAATATTCCTTTGTAATGGCCTGGAGTGAAACTGAGCACTTGAATTGGCCCTGAACACCATCATTTCCAGCAAGTTCATGGAAAGGACTTATCGAATGGAACCTTGACCTATTTCAGCTTACAGGCTCTGATTTCTTAGATGGGCCTTTTTCTGGAGCAGAAGCCCTGGCCCTGTGTTTTCCCTATGGATCCAGCTGCGTGTGTGCACCAAAAAGACTGCCTGGATGACAAGGTACCAGCTTACCAAGCAACTGTTCCTCTCTAAACCAGATGCCTGCCCTTCTTTTTAAGTGGTAAAAAGGAACGCTTTTCCCGGAGAATGTACAGTATTTGTCCAATCCTCACCAACAGGCATTCTCCATGAAAAGGAAAGGCCGCAGACCATTTTTTACAGGGAAACTCCACAGATCAGCTTTTTAACCACAAAACCCTGCATCTGTAAACTGACAAGAGACTAATGCAAAATCTGGTGGCTAGAGCCACAAACCACAGCCTGAGGCGAGTCCGTAATTCCTCCACATGCGCTGAGCTGAACTGAACTTTAGTGATCATTGCCTTCAGGACACTACAAGGACTTCCTGTATGGAAGGGGTTATATAGGGGAGGACTTCCTGTCTGCTTTTGGTCTGCCAGTGTCCATTCACCTTTAGGTGGTGCATAACCCAGATAGTAATGATTTATAGCCAGCTCTGTGTTCTGTGATGTACGATAAAGAAACAAAGTATACCAGGGAAAAATCAATTAGGATCCCATAAATTGATTGGTATTTTGTTGTCCATTTTAGCCTCCAAAGTTTATGCAGTCTTTGGGTTTTATAAACTGTACTTTACAAAATTAACCCAGTACTTGCTAGATTAGGTCTTCTAAGTAACTATGGTACTGGTGAAAATTATCTTGGTTCTGGAAACTGCACAACTTTCATCATAAAGTATATATCGTGTTCATTTTTTTGGCTAGGGAAGTCTAAAATTGGTCAGTTTTTTGTGCTGTCTTTGTCCTTTTGGGAGATTTCCCTCATTCCCTGTCCTAGAGGTGCATCAGAGAATGAAAGTTAATCTCTACAAATCTCTAGAAGGGCATTTTAGACAGGTGTCCCCACTGAAACAATTTCCCTCCATTTCTGTTTCATCAACAACTGTAAAATGGATATTCCATCACTTTCCTTCTTTGTTATGATAGCCAGAAGGACAAATAGGTGAATCGGCCTGACATGGACACGTACAACGACAACAGGGTTCTGTTGCTTCTTCACATGATCCAAAACTTAAAAAAAAACGTTTTCCACTTATAGGTTAACTTTATTCTGTTGGCTCCTAAAACGGTTTATGGGAAACCATGATATTATTCCCAAATAGTGTATAAGCTCACCTTGCTTTTAGAGATGTGTATTCTTATACTGTTCATGATTATTCTCTAGGTTTTCAATGACTTTGAAATTGAACTGCACCAGGAATGTGCCTATGATCACCTTGAACTATACGATGGACCAAACAGCAAATTCTCCATTCTTGGGCGGTTTTGCGGCAGCACGAAACCAGAGCCTGTAATTGCATCCACAAACAATATGTTTCTGCGTTTCTATTCTGATGCTTCAGTACAGAGAAAAGGATTTCAGGCCAAATATAGTACAGGTATATGAATAGATTTTATTGAATGTAGTATTTTAACTGCTAAGGTTCTTTTCATGAAACTGATCAAAAAAAACAAAGTCAAGGCTGGACATTCCTTTTAAAAGGCCAGTGTTCTTTTTTTTTTTTTTTTTTTAAAGATGGTAATCCTATTAACGTGTTTGTTTTTTTTTATTATTATTTATTTATTTAGAATGTGGAGGACGCTTAAAAGCTGAGATCCAGACCAAAGATCTGTATTCCCATGCCCAGTATGGTGATAACAATTACCCAGTACAGTTGAACTGTGAGTGGGTCATTGTAGCAGAAGATGGCTATGGTGTGGAATTAATCTTTGAAACATTTGAAATGGAAGAAGAATCAGATTGTGGTTATGACTACATAGAAATCTATGATGGCTATGACAGTACTGCTCCAAGGCTGGCAAGATATTGTGGATCAGGGGTATGTATTTAGAGGGCAGTACAAGTTCAGCAACAAAAATACTCAGGGGAAGACAAACTAGCAAAATGTATTTTGTTTTGGATAAAGCAGAAATGTGTTGGCAAGGAAAAAGCTTACTGGGGGTTTGTGTCCCTGTTGGAGAGATTTCACCTCCCCCCAAGGGATTTGGAAACTCCACTGAGGATGCAGAAAAATCACTTTTTTCTTAATGAAATGGGAAATTTCTTTTTTTGTGCTTACTGGTACCACAGGGATAGGAAATTAAGGGAACTCTCCTAATTGGGGTCACAGACAGATCTAAAAATGTGAACTTTTCCACTCTAACAATGGATTAAGTTGGGCTTTAAACACCTATAGGAACTGTTTTATCTGCTACAAGATTCATAAAATGTGTGATCTACCACCTCTGCTTTGCTATATGTGGGATGAAATGTGAAAGGTAAAAAACGCTTTTAGATTCTGCATTCCTTTAGGATCTCTGTCACTGCCCTGCCTTGTGCCTGCTCTGCATCACTGCTCTATGCCATCCTGTTTGGATTATTTTGGAACTTTCATACGGTATTCTTCCCTCAGCTCCGGGTTCTACGGTACACCCATGACTAAAAGCCCTCTAGCATTCATGCACTAAGCCACATAAATGAGTTATCGTAACTTTGTTTTTTGTTATGTTATTTCATTATAATTTTTGCATTCTTCAGTTAAAAAAATTTTGCATTGCTGTGGAGTCGTAAATGCTAATTTCCTGTAGAAAAAGGACTATTGAAAGCCTTTATTTTATTTGAATCCACCCAGAAAGGCAGGCTTCTCAGTGGACACCATTTAAAAGCTCACTGCTAACGCTAACTGTAACCTAACAATAGTTTTAGAAGTAGAAACCTGAAAGACAAAAGGTTTAGTGAATAATAAAAAAAAATGAAATTACTGAAATTTGAAAAAATGCATGGCATTGAAAATATTGCATGGGCTTTGCTTTTGGAAAATGTTGTGTGTATGGATTAAATCACATTGTACTACTGATGGTACCAGATCAGCTTTGTTTGATCTATGCAAAGTGGTATGTTAAGCTAAATAAAATGATATGGGTACTGTATATTACAGAACATCCATTTATTTTCTCCCTGGCTAGCATGGCTTTCTCTCACTCTCTCTATAAAATCTCTGTATTATACATATTTTTTTAAATGTTTGAGATGTTTTACATTAAAGCCTTAATGAACTTCCACTAAATACATTCCAGGGGTATCACAACAGAAGGTACACAGAGTCTTACAATTTTTGTTAAAAAGCAGCCACAGCCTGCATGCTGTGCTGTGTGGGAAAGCAGTGATCTCTCGCATCCCTGTTGAGTCAGATCTTCAGTGCTCCAAGCACCGGGAGTCTTGATTCATTATTGCTGCTGCACCTCTGCATGGAGACCACTGCTTCCACACAAAGCAAGGGCTCCACTCTGCAGCTTTCTAGCAGGGACAGGCTTTTCTTCTAAGGCAACTTTATTTTTGATGCACCTGGAATGCTAAAATTTCATTTGTGCTTTATTGGCATTATACTCACTTTCCCTTTTTTATGCCTGAAACAGTTTTATCTGTATTATTTCATTCTAGGAATTTTTCGCTGATATGTACTCTTCTTCTTTTCCTTTTTTTTTTTTCCTTTTTTTTAAGCCTCCTGAAGAAATCTATTCTGCTGGAGACTCTATCATGATACGCTTCCACACAGATGACACCATCAATAAGAAAGGATTCCATGCCCGATATACCAGTACCAAATTCCAGGACGCACTTCATATGAGGAAATGACTGATATCTGGGCTGATGCTTATGTTCTTATTGTAACTAAATTGGCCATGTTTTTATGACAGTTTGAGAGACTGAATTTAATGCTGTGCAAATTTCTATGTCAAAGTATGGCTGCAGTCTGTTAGAGATCTGTATGGATTAGGATCCAGATTTTCGTAGCCTATTTCTGTTTTGTGCCAATGTACCAAGGACCAAATATTTTCTTATAATAAATCTAACTCGGTTTACATTGTTCTGAAATGTTCAAAAGGGCTTCGCCATGTTCTTGTACCCTGTTATTGTAGCAGCCATTTACAATGCCTGCTACCCTGAATTGGTGGTTTAATAAATGTGGGTCTAAGGCTGACCACACACTATGTACAATCTGACTTTTTAATCTCCTTTAGACATAGCATTAACTGTTGTGCAAGGGCCTGTCTGGTTCAAAACACAGAGAATTGGTATTTTAGGTATGTCCTCATAACTGGTAACTCTAAAGATTGTACAGAGGTTGCACAATCACATTATAAAGTGTATGGCCAGCAAATGGTCCATTGCATCTTGTCTTGTTCCATCATCATCATCATCCATTTCAGTATCACATGGTCTGAGGATAGTAGAGGGACTAAGCACTGTCAGGGCAGGTAGCTGGCAACTGCACAGTATACAGCCTGGACTGCCTATTGCAGATACTTTTTTGCATTCTTGGTATTTCCAGATAATTGAGCAGTATGGTTGAGGGTTTAAATGTCTTATTCTGAATGGCTGTCTATCTGTAAAAACTACAAATATAATGGGAACTTCAGCAGATAGCCCTGTGTCTTTACTTGGGCTTTTTTTTCCCAGAACTTGAACACAAGTGGAGCAGTTACTAATAATAAGCCAGATTCTTCTATTTTCTTTAAATTTTTGTAAATGACCCCACTGTACACTAAATATATATTTCTCTAATTTCAATACCAATAAAGGTAAGGTCATTTAAATCGGAATAGTTATCAGTGTAGACTGGGTTTTCGCTTGCTTCAAGCAAGTTTTGCTCCCCTATTAAAGCCTATAGGATTGCAAAACCCACTTGAAGGAGGGCAGCTGCAGGTCAAATGCACCTATCATTCTCAGTGATCTCAGAAGCATCTTAAACTGATACCAAATTAATGCCATCAACACAAACCCAAAACACGACATGACAGGCTGTTTGGAGAAGCCAAGGAGCAGAATATTCTGTAACTTATGTAGTGGGTCATTTTGTTGAGCCTAGTAGGCCATGCTGGGATCACATGGGTTGCCACAATGGTGATGTTTGTTTCTTCCACTGACTTTGAGGCATTTCTAATTTGTCTTTAATTATAACAATATTCATCATGGAAACAGAATTCTGAAAAACCCAAGAATCTAAATACTAAGAGCAACCATCTGCACCTGGCAATAGCAAGCAGTTGGAGTTCAGCAATCATTTTGGTTTTTAAACCTAAATAATTTGATAGGTTGATGTTCATTATAGCATTTTGCCTGTTACCGTATTAAATTGGCATGAATATACGTGTTACCTACTCACTTTTTCAGCATTCTATCACAACAAAGACACTGGCAAAAAGCTTCTGGCAGTCACTCATTTTATCTAAGACTTTCTTCACCAAATTCAGGGATTAAAATGCTCATCAGACACATTAAATTGTTTAAATCTTGGGGTTTTACCTGTTCTATTTTGAAAGTTTCCTAAATATCCCCTATGTCACTTTTATTGGTATTGGTTTATTAATGGATTACCTATGACCATGTGCCAAACGTTCCATAATTTATCACTTGTCACATTACAAGTTGATTACATTTATTTTGCCTCTTAACCGTAAATGATTTGCAGCCCATCTTGTAAGAGTTGCATTTCAAGGGCTGTGCCGGCAAACAACTGCCTATAATGTACATAAGTGTATGTATGCTGTCACCTACTGGTGTAACATCAGTAGTGTTTCTGAATTTGTTCTCAATGAAAGTACTGTATAGGTAATTCTCTTTTTTTTTTGGTTTTGTAATTTTACCTGCTTATTGTTAGTATTGTTTTGTACTTAAATTATGTAGCTGTTGTATCTTGCAAATGTAAATATGAAATTTTAAATGATTTGAAATTAGCTTGTGCAATATCAAAGACTAATAAGCTTCCCACCCCTCTTTACATCTGCATTGGGGGGCCTTATTTACTGGCTTTACTACCTAATGTTTGTTGGGGGAGCAGGAAATCCTGTACTTAACAAAAATGATCACTGGGAGAAGAAAATTGTATTTTATGCTAATAAATCTTTTCTGCATTTCTAGAGCTAATCTATATTTTCCCGCCTGTCAAAAGGAATTGTAATGCTGTTTTTATTACTATAGAACAATGTAATTTCTTGCCATGTTATTAACAGAATGATAATAAAAAAATATTTCAGTGCCAAAATAGACAGATCATAAGTCATTTCTGGTGTAAATTTTAAAATGTATTTATTTATTTTTTAGGACTGTTAAGCACATAAAATTGGAAAAGGATTTTTTTTTTTTTTAACCATTTCAATACCGAGCAATTTTACACCTTCCTGCCCAGGCCATTTTTCACGTTTCAGCGTTCTCACACTTTGAATGACAATGTTGTCATACAACATTGTACCCAAACTAAAATGTTATCATTTTCTTCACACAACTAGAGCTTTCTTTTGGTGGTATTTCACCACTTGAGCTCCTGAGGATTTACCCCCCTTAATGACCAGGCCTCTTTTTGCTAGTCGGCGCTGCACTAATTCAACTGATAATTGCGCGGTCATGCAATGCTGTACCCAAACAAAATTTATGTCCTTTTTTTCACACAAATAGAGCTTTCTTTCGGTGTATTTTTGATCACCTGTGTGCTTTTTATTTTTCACGCTATAAACAAAAAAAGGCCAACAATTTTGAAGAAAAACAATATTTTTTACTTTCAGCTATACAAAATATATAGTAAACTCAAAGTTGGTTATAAATTTAGGCCAAAATGTATTCTGCTACATGTTTTTGGTAAAAAAAATCCCAATAAGTGTATATTGATTGCTTTGTGTAGAAGTTATAGCGTCTACAAACTATGGTATAAATACTGCAATTTACGCCATTTTTCTGCTATACAGCGCTGTGCTAGTTTAACGGACAATTGCGCGGTCATGCAATACGGTACATAAATTAAATTTACATCCTTTTTTTCCCCACAAATTGAGCTTTCTTTCGGTGGTATTTGATTGCCTGTGCGGTTTTTATTTTTTGCGCTATTAAAAAAAAGGCTGACAATTTTGAGGAAAAAAAAAAAACAATATTTTGGACTTTTTGCTATAAAACATGTCCAGTAAAAAAAAAAGCAAAAATCAAATTTAGTCATAAATTTCTGCCAAAATGCATTCTGCGACATGTCTTTGCTAAAAAAAATCCCAATACGTGTAAATTAATTGGTTTACGTGAAAGTTATAGCGTTTACAAATGGCGGGAAAGATACTGGAATTTTTAATTTTTATTTATACTAATAATGGCGCCGATCAGTGACATATGGCGGCAATCAGCGACATATGGCGGCAACCAGCGACTTATGGCGGGACTGCGGCGGACATTTTGACAGGGGGGGGAACTGACTTGGGGTCACTGACATCCCCAGTGACACCAATACAGTGATCAGTGAAAAAAACCACTGAAACTGTACTAATGTCACTGGGGAGGAAGGGGTTAACATTTTTAGAATTTGCTGTGTAAGGGGAGTGTTTTACTAGAGTGCGGGGGTGTGTACTGGACGGGGGGGAGGGAGGGGGGAGCTGATCGAGGAAGAGAAACTCTGCAGCTTCTCACAAGCTGTCAGAGAACTGACACAGAACAGGGCTGTGTGTAAACAATGCAGCCCTGCTCTGTGTCAGCGATCACCGTCAATCGCGGGAAAGGTAGGGAGGGCGCACGCCTTGCGCACACCCCCTACCTGTTTTGAAGGCAGCTGTTTTAAACTGTGCTTTTGCCTACGAGTGCCGCCCTGCCACCGTTTATATGCGGTGGCTGGGCGGCAAGTGGTTAATCACCACTGGGGTTTTTATTTTTTGCTAAATTAACAAAAAAAGATCAAACATTTTGAAAAAAAAAACACGTTTTTCTTTGTTTCTGTTATAAAAGTTTACAAATAAATAATTGTTCTTCATAAATTTAGGCCGAGATGTATTCTGCTACATGTCTTTGGTGAAAATAACCCAAATTAGGATGTATTATTTAGTTTGTAGGAAGGTTATAGAGTTCACAAACTATGGTATAGATCTGAAAATTGATCAATCCTGAAGTACTGACAGCCAATCTATTTTCTTGAGGTCCAAGAATGTCAGAATAGTACAGATATCCCCCAAATGACCCCTTTTTGCAGAGTAGACAGTCGGACATACTTCATAAGAGGAATGGCGAGTTTTTTGAAGTTGTATTTTTTTGTCATAATTTTTCGGAAACTGAAAAAATTTAAAAAATTATTTTCACTATTTTTTTTTACATACTGTCACCAGTTCAGTACAGCATCATCATATAACTGGCATGGCAGTGAACAGGAACACTGACTGGTGACAGTATGAAAAAAAAATTATATATATATATATATTTTTTTTTTTTTAATTATTTTTAATTTTTTATTACATTTTTTTAAAATTTTTTTAAGATTTTTTTTTCATATTTTACTATGACCAAAGTAGTACAATGTTACCATAGTAACATTGTACTACTTTGGGGAAGTGATCAGTATTTTTTTTTTACACAATTTGCTTATAGCAAAGAATTACTTTGCTATAAGCAAGCATTTACCTAAATGAAATCGATTCATTCAGGTTTTTTTTTTTTTGTGCTTAGCTGTGATTTGGCCACAGCTAATCACATGACATGTGCATGTGACCTGTCGTGACCATTCACAGCTAGGCACTAGTATACAATGGATGGCATGAATGAAGCCATCCATTGTATACAACTGTCATGGGACCTGCTGTGATTGGGCACAGCAGGTCACATGGTACCGGCAA